GGACAGGGAAGCCTGGCGTGGGTCCATGGGGTTGAAAAGAGTCAGACACGATTGAGCAACTGAACATCAATAATGTTAAGTGTAATACTTCTGCTATATCTAGGTTTACTGAAGGTCAAATTTGTTATTCCTATTGAAATTTGTCATCCAGAAAAGTAACTTCATGTGAAATAAGCATTTAAGGATAGCAAAATGTATGTTTTCAATAAAAGAAGCTGTGAGGAATAAAAGAAATACAGAAAAAAGAATTATGCATGATTTGGATTTTCTAAGATTGGATTAAATTTAGATGGGCAGATGAATTTTGTTGGGACAGGGCTGGGGCAAGACTGGATTTGGTTTCTTCAAAGTTCTCTTGAAATGCTGTTTTTGATAAGACACTATGTTAATTTCTTTAAGTGGTCTGTATTTGCTTTTGAGAGCTCTTCTAACTTTGGTTAAAGAGTAAGTATTTTCTCATAGTGACTTATGATCTTATTTAACCAAGTTTTTGAAAACTTTTTGACAAACTTCCCAAATATCAAATTTTAATTAAAGTTCTTTTGATTTTCAGCTAACTTTGGGATGATTTAGAGAGCTCCTAAGGTATCTCAAAGAAATACATTTAACTAGGATTACTGGGCATGTTAATTTAAATGTAATCATAATTCTGGTTATTGCAACCAAGTTTCTTTTATAGATTATACTGTAATCAGATATTTAACCCTATCTTTTAAGTCTTTTGTGGTTTTAGATAGCTATTTTTGTACTCTGATGCTGTTACAAAAAGTGCTTCATCATCAAGAAGATTCATAAGAAGGCTAAGGAAACAGTTTAACAGCTGCATATCAAGATGATGGCTATGAAAGGATTCCAGCCCACATAGACTTAAAACTAGTAGCTATTTTGCCCGGGGACCCCTAGATCAGGCATCCAGAGATTTTTACTCCCTGACCAGTGGCATTGATGTACTAGTCAGACTTGAAGTAGTTACAGAAGATAGACTGTTAACCCTCTACTTCCCATAAGAATATGGGAGTAAAATTTCTGAGGGGGGAATGAAAGATGAGGGAAGGGGGCAGGGTACAACCTTTAAAAGAATGACATTGAGGAAATTAACTAGTTAGAACTAACTAGGTCCAAGATGGTGGAAGATTCAACATCCAGTAGACTGAGCCTCACTATATGCTCACTGTAACACATCAGCCAAATGACACGATCACCAGCATCATCACAGTTTCCAGGCTGATCATAAAAGGTCAAAAAGTGTGCAGTAGCCCAACTCCTGGAAATTCCTGCCTCTTCCCCCAGAGAGTTGGAATAATCCTCCAACTCAGCCTATGGAATTAACCAGCCCATAAAAATCAATCACTCCATGTTTCGGGGCCTTTTTCTTCTGAGATGGTCCACTCTCTGTCTGGGAAGTTTGTTTCTCCCAAGGCCATTTTCACCTTTTGAGATGGAATGTGTATCTCTTTAAATAAATCCTCTTCTTGCCTATCACTTTGTGTTTCACTGAATTCTTTCTGCAATGAGACATTAAAGAATCTGAGCTTCAGTAAGTCCTGAGACCAGGTGTGTGATTTCAACAAAAAGACAGTGGGTTGAAGACCCAGTCTCGGTTTTGGCTGGGTTCCTGGTTTTGGTGGGTTCAAGTTGCATCTGAGGTGCACAGTTTCAATATGTGTAAGGAGTGATAATTTGGCCTCTATTTCCAATATTCATTTTTTTTAAAAGTTCATATCTTGTTGCATTACCTCAAGATTCTAGGAAATATTAACTAATACTGGATTATAACAAGAGACTTTCCTTTATCTGTTTCTAATAGGAGCTTTCCTTTCTCTCTGTTGCTTTGTCTTTATCTCTGTTTCTTTCAACTTTCCTTTATCTGTTTCTAACCTTCTAAGGCCTTTAGTGTTTTAGTATAAATGTTAGTACTTGGAGTCATCAACTATTTCTTGAGTGTGTTCTAAGAATTAGGTTCTGTGCTAGTGTCAAGAGTGTAAGGTGAGAATGACATAGATCTGACCTCCAAGAACTTAAAATTGGTTTGGCCAGACAGTAAAGAATCTGCCTGCAGTGCAGAACACCTTGGTTTGATCCCTGGGTTGGGAGGATCCCCTAGAGGAGAGCATGGCAACTCCAGTATTTTTGCCTGGAGAATCCCCATGGACGGAGGAGCCTGGCGGGCTCAGTTCAAGGGGTCACAGAATCAGACAGGACAATGTCAAATACTTAGTCCAGCCATTTTGTCACCAAGAGCAGAGGCCACCTCCTTATTTTGGATGTGTGATTAGGATTGGCTGATGTGCCATGTATTTCCTAGGACTCTATTTATTTACTTCTGGCTGCACTGGGTCTTCACCGCTGCCGGTGGGCTTTCTCCAGGTGCGACAAGCAGGGGAGACTCTTGGTTGAGCGCACAGGCTTCTCACTGTAGTGGCTTCTCTCTCTGCAGAGCACAGCTTCGAGGTGCACAGGCTTCGGTAGTCCCAGCACATGGGCTCCGTGGTTGTGGCACAAGGGCTCTAGAGCACAGGCCCCGTAATTGTGATGCATGGGCTTAGTTGCTCTGCAGCGTGTGGGACCTCCCCCGACCATGGATGGAACCCATGTCTCCTGCGTTAATAGGCATGTTCTTAGCCACCGGACCACCAGCAAAGTCCTCCCAGGGCTCTTTTGAGATAATCATGGAGTTCATCTCTAGGATGATTATTTGAGATCAAACTTAGCTATTTGCAATGTATTATTGTAGGCTTCTAGAAACATTTCTCTTCCTTTGGGCAGCTAACAGCCAATGCCCTTTATGATGCTTTTTCTCTGAAATGGCCTTGATAGGCATAGTCACAAACTGTATTTCTGGATCATTCCATTTCCCAGGAGGAAGCATCTATGGATGCAAAATGGCACAAACTGTCTTTCTGGATCATTCTATTTCCCAGGAGGAAGTATCTATGGATGCAAAATGGCACAAACTGTCTTTCTGGATCATTCCATTTCCCAGGAGGAAGTATCTATGGAGGTAAAATGGCTTTATTTTTGGCTGTGCTGGGTCTTTGCTGCTTTGTGGGGGCTTCCTCCAGTTGCGGCAAGCAGGGGCTCCTCTTCATTTCGGGGTGCTGGCTTCTTACTGTGCTACCTTCTGTTGCGGTGAAGCACAAGCTCTGGGCACACAGGCTTCAGGCAGTTGTGGTGCATGCGTTCAGTTGCTCTACAGCTTGTGGCATCTTCTCAGACTAGGGATCGAACCCGTGTCCCCTGCATCACAGATGGATTCTTATCCACTGTGCCACCAGAGAAGTCACGGTAAGATGTCTTTGGAAAGAAGGCAATTGTGAAGACGGGAAAGTCTGGAAGCTGAGATGTTTGAACTCTCAGATACTCAGATAGTGTCTAGTTCTTCTTGTACTTTGTACTAACAATCCTTAATTCAGGCAACTACAGTAGAGTTGCCCATCTTTCCAAGGAAGTTCTTTTCATATGTGTTGCTCCAAAAACAAATGAAGTAACCTCAGGCATGGGGGTGGGGATGGGTGAGATGGGATGACCTTCAGTCCTGGGCATTGATGGCTGCTGAAATCCCTCCCCTTCCTCTCCTCTCTTGTCCCTCTAACAGACTCAGATATTAATGAGTATCCACATATGCAGCCCTGGTAGTTGGAGGGAAGCTGACCTCTCTCCTAGCTCCAGCCTGGAGCCCATCAGGACATTCCCCACAGTTTGCCAGGAACTGGCTTAAGGCTGTCCTGCAACCCGGGAGAGGTCCAGAAAACTGTCTGCTCAGTATGTGGAGAGTGACGCTCTCTCCCCTCTGGAGCACGATGCGAGCACTTGTCCTGGGATGGTTCTAGTCATGTCATCACCAGGAAAAGAACCAGCCTTGGGATCGAGCTGACCTCAGAGAGCTGAGCACTGGAAGGAAGGGGAAACCCGAGGTCTGAGTTGCATGTTTGGTTGCCTTGGGGCCCACCTCTCTGGCTTTGCAGATGAGCCCTGTCTTCCTTTCCATCTGACCAGATAAGGCATGTTTTCTGCCACGTGCAATGAGCCACATACACTGGGTAATACCACTCTACCTGGCATGCTGTGCTCAGAAACTTCATAGTCCTGAGATCCTCCAACCTCCGCACACTGCTGCTCCAGGGACAAGCTCCACGGGGCCCTGAGCAGAAGCATATCCTGCTCACTTCACGCCCCCAGGTTGAGCAAGCAGGCAACTCACAGTGGCTGGAAGAGCCAAAGAGAGGGTTCTGAAGAGGAAATACTACATAGCTGCCTCAAATTCTTATCATCTCTTCCTTCCCTTTTTCTCTGTTTAGAGAGATGGCAGTAGTGACTCCTAAGACAAAAATGTAAAAAGCCTAGCCTCTTGGCAGGAAGTATCTTGTAGGCTGGGGACACCTGGTGCAGGTATAGCCTGTGTCAATGTCCCAGTGTGCAGCCTGCATATCACCCAGCTGTTTCCTTCATGGAATCTAAAAGAACCTGCCATGAAGAAGTGTCCCAGAGTACTCAGAACATGTTCTGTTAGTGCAGCAAAGAGCAAGACCCTATGGGGTCTTCCTGGGATGGACCCCTCCCTATATCCTCTGCTGTAGCTGCTCTTTGAGGTTCCTAGATAATAGTATCTGATGCATATTTCCTGAGTTTTCCAGATGTTGGAACCACCACCAGATGGAAGAAATGAACTGCTTGATGACCATGAGCCTCCAGACTTTCTGGCACCTAAGGACTGATCACCATCAACCAATCAGGGAATTGTCACAGCTGATCACACACTCTGGGATGCCCCTTCCTCATGTGGCCTTTAAAAACATTTTGTGGAAATCCTTAGGGGTGTTCATGGTATTTTTTGAGCACAAGCCACCCATTCTCTTTGCTTGGTCCTGCAGTAAACATTTCTCTGCTCAAACAAACTTGGTTTGTTTGACCTGCCTGCGTATTGGGCACATGAACAGGTCTTTAGTAACATTAGGTAACATATTAATAACATCACACAACAGTGGCAACCGGACATGATCTCTTTGCAAAGTGAAGGCTGTTTATTGCTTGTTATGATTTTAACAGGCAAGAACCTACATAGGAATTATAATACGTACAGGTGATCTTTACCAAATTCCTGCATAGAAATGAACGTTGGAATGAATTTTGTGTGTGTCTGCTTTCCCAGAGTTCTCAATTTCCCTTTCCTGGTGAAGCAGAGACCCAACCCTCCTAGTGGTGGGACTGACAGACAGACAGTGAGGATCTCCGTCAAAGCCACGCGTGTGCCCATCACCTGCCTCAACTCCATCCACACTCGCCGGGGGTTCCCTGTGCTCATCCTCAGGGAAAGCAAAGGTCACACATACTGAAGCAAACCAAACAGACTGCATTTTCTTTAATAAAATGAGATGAAAAAATAAATCTAAACACACCTTTTCAAGTGTCACTCTTCTTTAAACTTTTATATAAGATAAAGCTCTTATTTTTCTTTTCAATATACTCTACTTAAAATTTTTAAAAAATAAACTTTCTTTTTTCGGTACCTTTCATTTCCTGTGTCAGCCTCGGAAATATATAAAATATACCTCACTAGAACTCTGTGCAAATAATAAACATAAATAATATTAACATCTTTCAAAAAAAAAAAAAGTGGGGGGGGGGGCATTTCAAGGTTTTCACTCTGCACTGCCAGCCGCGCTTCTTGGAAGGGGGTCCTAGAAGCAGTCTGTGGTCTGCCCGCTCAAGCCACACAGGTCCCGGTCCGGCAGCGCGGAGCCGGGCAGGAAGTCGCCGTCGCGCTTGTCCATGGGCAGACCGCTCCGGGAGAACTGTAGGACGCTGCCTAGCCCGCCGACCAGGGACAGCGAGGACATCCAGTTGAGGGAGCTGAGGCCGGGCACGCTGAAGACGGATGGCCAGGGGGCTGGCCGGCTGGCGCTCACAGGTTTCATCCTGGAGCCTCCCGGACAGCCCTCCACGGCCACCGGCCCTGGCGAGGAGGACCGGGAGGGCTGGCTGCCCAACCTGTCCGGCAGGGCGCCCTCCCTCCGCAGCACGCCCACGTCCACCGCGCTGGGCTCCCCGCCAGCCTCGGGGGAGCAGGCCGGCTGCCGCGCGCCCCGGGACACCCGTGAGCTGCAGTCCTGGGAGACGGACTGTGCGGCACTGATGCTCCTCTGTCCCGGTGGCTCCGTCCTTGCTTCTCCCGGGATGTGCCCCTGAGCAGAGGTCTCTCCGGGAGCCCTGAATTTCCCGGGGGACCGCTTGGCTAACTGGCGTCCCAGCTGCAGCGGGGTAGGGAAAAGGGTCCCCTGCAGGGCTTTGAAAAACAACCTGGAAAGAACATACAGAACACAGTCAGCTACTGCTGCCGCGAAGCCTTTGAGCTCTGGGATTCGAATCGTTCAGGAGCACAGCACAGACAGAGCTTTCCGCGCTCACGCGGGACCTGAAGCCGCTGTCCCGGACCCCTACCTGGGCAGCAGAGCAGCCACGGGCGCGAGCAGACAAATGCAGTAAAACACGGGGTCGCCCATCAACGCCTGCATGGTCCAGTAGGGGTTGGAGGGAGGGTAGCACGTCGCGCAGGAAGCGTTGTAAATCAAAGCCACGGTGAAAAATAACACGACACTGAAGCCACAAGCCGTCCAGTTGAGCCAGGTCTGAGGGATAAAGAGAACAACAGGGCTTCTGTTTCAACAAAAATGCACCGGTCCTCCTACAGCAGGCGCAGTGTTCTCAGAGTGGGAACAGGATGGGTCAGCGTGAACACAGGCTGGGCGATGGACGCCAGGGGCCAGGGGAAGGGGGGTGGAGGGGCTCTGAGGGAAGGGGCCCAGTGCTGCCCAGGACAGGCGCAGGCGTGGGCTGGAGTTGCCCCACCCAGGTTCGGGTCCATGTGGCTGGCCCGGGGACCGGTGTGTTCTCAGCACAGAGAGGCTGGCTTCGTAAAACCCTGCTCAAGCTCACAGACTGGGCATGTCACTGAGGGCTCACAGACCAGCTCCCTTCCGGGTCAGTCCCACGGTTCTCACCCAGGTCTTGGTCTCGATGCCCAGGTGCAGGAGGAAGGTGAACAGGGCGATGGCAGTGATGGGGGTGCCCCAGGTGAAGATGTCTGTGTCAGAGTCGTAGTAGGCCTGAAAGACAGTGGGGTCCTCTGTCTGCGCATCACCGGATGAAACTGGCGGGAAAGGCCTGGCCAGGGGCCAACTTACCAGGTAGGGAATGAAAAAGCACACGAGGCTCTGGAAGGCAGCATCGGCCATGTTCAGCCAGAACGTGCGAGGCCGGTATTCCTGAGACAAAAGAACAAGCACAGGCATTACAGGGATGGCCTCATGTCTTCACATGGTTTTCCAGTCTCCCCCGGGGGCCACAAAGGCACAAGCCGGGCACCCCAGGGACACTTGCTAACCGAGGCCTTGGAGAGGGAGGTCCCGGGGGCTGGTGGAAAAACACTATGGAAAGGCTCCGCAAGGGCCCTTGAGGCAGAGTTGGTCACTGACAGCATTTGGGTCTGCAAGGTCCGTTACAACAGGAAAAAGAGGAAATGCACTCTAAAATCCCATGAGGAGTTTCCCGAGCCAGGGACTAGAGCATGAAATTCTGGCAGCCGCTCCAACCTGAGTCCTTCTACTTTGTAAAGGGCTTTGCTTCCCTCTGTTGGTGGACCCCCTAGAAGATTTCTTAAAACTGAGTTATTTTAACATTAAATCACGGATGTCTCCTAATGTTAAAATCAATTAGCTGCATATAAAAGGCAAAAATGACTATGAAATGGACTAATCAAGTCTTCCTTGGGTGCCCATGTCTGTATCTGACCCTGAGCTCTGTGCTGCAAGAGTGAGCACTGGCCCACAGCACACTCGAGCAGACAAGATGAGCATTTACTGAGCACTGAGGAAAGCCAGCCCCTTCCTGTTAGTCCCCAGAACAAACTCACCCAGGAGGTGAGACCTGGCTGAGTACAGGAGCGCCCCCAGGTGACGAGGAGAGACCCTCATTTACCTGACCCTCAGTAGTCTGTGTCCCAGGCTGCCCACAGGAAGTCAGTCGTTCAGCTGTGTCTGACTCTTTGCCATCCCACGAACTGCAGACTGCCAGGCTCCTCTGTCCAGGGAATTTTCCAGGCAAGAATACTGGAGAGGATTGCCAGTTCCTACTCTAGGGGATCTTTCCCACCCAGGGATTGAACCCTTATCTCCTGTGTTTCCTGCATTGGCAGGTGGATTCTTTACCACTGCACCACCTGGGAAGCCCGGTGGGAAGTCAGTGCTTCAGTAAATCAGTTCTGAATTATCTAGAGACCACTGTGGGAGATGCTGGGCTCTATTCCCTGGGCACATGTATAATTCCAATCAGCCCAAGAGAAGCACTGACGTGGCTTTCTTTACTGACCAGCAGGGACAGCTGGGAGTCAGCATGCCAATCTACGCAGTGTATTAATGTAAACGTGTATTTACATTATCGGTTTGTGTTCACTTGGTTTTTCCAGAGTTTCCCTATGGATTTATCTTCTCATTAATCCCTACTCAAAGAAAATCACATTTCTTTTGGGGATGTTTTAGAAAAATCCATGATCTGCCTACAGCCATCCCACAGGTCCTTGACTTGGATTCCAAATAGGCTTTCCTTGGGCTCCTGGAAACTTTTAGTGTAAAGACAATTTTCATCTCGGTATACTTTTAAAAGAGCTTCCCAGGCTCTAGTGGTAAAGAACCCACCTGCCAGTGCAGGAGACACAGAGGTGTGGGTTCGATCCCTGGGTGAGGGAAGAGCCCCTGGAAAACAGCACAGCAACCCACTCCAGTATTTTGCCTGGAGAATCCCAGGGACAGAATCCCATAGAGCCTGGCAGGTTACAGTCCATAATGTTGCAAAGAGTCGGACACGACTGTAGCAACTTAGCACACACCCACACATAGTTTTAAAAAAATCTTTTC